GATGGCGTAATCACTTGACGCGCCGTATTCAACGACGAGTCTCGAGACCGGATCGAGTCAAATCCTATCAATCAGCCCCTTCCTCCCAGAAGTCGACTGTCGCTTCACCACAACACAATTGAGAAATGGTGGAAACTAACAAAAAGGAGCTGGATGTCATTTGCACGAAGCACAGCTCGTATTTTGTCTAAGCAGTGGACGGTATCTCAAAACTTGTTGCAGAGAGTGACGGTGAGAACAAAGCTTCCATTTCAAAACCCAAAGTGTTACTCCAGCAGCTTGTTAAAATGAACATGTCAGAAATGAACGAGATGATAACTCTGCATATATCATTGCTCCGTCCCTACTACGACTACGAGAGTACGTTGAATCCATCGGTGAAGAATTTGTACGACTCAAGGCTGCTGATTGGAAGAAGGATCGCTACGTGATATGCTGCGTGCTCTCGAAAAGAATAACGCTGGATACCAACAGTTTTGGAGCTCAATTCACGAACGATTCCCAGCTTTAACAGCGTACTGTTCTGGTCTCGCATCCGCGTTTCCTATTACAACCACCGTCGAATCGGATTTTCCGATTCTTGGAGCCGAAAGAATGACTACTGGTCAGCGCTCACTGCTTTTTCTTTGGGAGGCCTTGCACTGCAAGCAATACCACGATCTGGAGTCGCTAATGCAAAGCATGTAAGCTACAGCTGAACAGAGTAGTGACTTGCAAAGTATATGCAGAAAAAAAATAAGATCTACTGATACGCTCGACGTAGTGTTGAAATTAAAGTGGTCTGTCCATAATCTATTTAGATATATTTTTAAATATTTTTTTAAAAAGAATTTGATAAGAAGAATAAAACAAGAAGAAGGTAAAATTACATAGAAAAAAAAGCAAATACAGAGACGCAGGACCGCAGCGATGAAGAAGTGAAGGCAAAAGCAGCCCAAGCCCACATTGCCGCGGGACGAGTGGAGATGTCCATGCCATGCATGGGGCGTGACTCAGCTGCGGGCAAGGTTAAGCTGAAAAAGTTCTTAGAGGAGATCGACGCAGGCATGACGGAATTGTTTATGGTCCGTATGGTACTAGAAATCCTGGTGCCTCGTCTACAGTCGCTAGTGAATTGGTCCGAGAAGAGAAAGAAGAAAAAGATTCGGAGGAGGTTGCTTTTTGGATGCGGAGGATCGCGTGGCTAACATTCTGAAACGAGAGGCGGATAATTCGCGAGCTTCTGGTGTCGCATTGGAGCACGCCGTAGGCAAGAGATTTGGATCAATCACTGCTCTCATAGGCAATGTGAGACGTTCGGCCAGCAAGGATGCCCGTCTACAGCACAAGAAACATCGGATTGATGACAATGAGAAGAAGGTAGAGCGAGAGCGACGAGCATTGAAGATCGGACGTAACGCAAAGAATAAGACGTTACAGTCGAAGTATTCGACGAAAGTGCACCGTTCAGTGACACAGGATGTGAGGGCGGATAGCAGATGTGATACGAAGGTGTAAGGATCAACGAGGAGAAAAAAA